GAGAGAGAGAGAGAGAGAGAGAGAGAGAGAGAGAGAGAGAGAGAGAGAGAGAGAGAGAGAGAGAGAGAGAGAGAGAGAGTGTGTGAGAACTCACCTTGATGCGTCTGAGAAAATCTAAATATGCACCTCAGCTCTCAGAACTACATGGAGTAAACAAAAACAAAGTAAGTGTATTTATGCATCTGCTGCCTTTTGATGGTGAGAAATGCAGACTAAACAAAAACAAAGCAAGTGGATTAAACACTTGCATGCAAGCCTGCTGTTTTGCTCTGTTTGTGTTTCTGGCGTCTGGTTGGTGAGTTTTAAATGTGTTTTTATGACTTCAGTTGTTTCTGTTCTGATACCCTGTGATAAATTACTGGTTAAATTAATCAGAAAGGATTAACACTGTTATTCGCGTATAGAAACAAATAATGTGTTAACTTGCTTAGTTAAGTAAAGTAAAGTTGGCAATAAATTCCCAGATTCAAACTTCCTGGGTCAATAAACGTAGTTACTACACAAACACCTCTTTTTAATCGTAGTAACGTAGACAAGCAGCTACAACCTAATTTTCCTCTAAACAAGCTTTCCATAATAAAAATTACAATTGTTTATGCAATTAAAAGTATTTTTCCCGAAATAAGTGTTGTAGTATAACCATCAGGACAGCAGTGATGTGTGAAATGAATTTGGCAACAATACAGTAAATTACAGTGAGGTTATTGACTGTTTTCGTAGTAACGCTTGTCGGGTTTTGCACTTTGCAGACGCTCCCTTCGGATCTCTCTCAGCCTGCGCATAGAGATCAATTGTAGGTTTATCTCAAGCCAGCAGATGACATATTTCTACACCTAACACCTTGATCAATATCCAGAAACAAATTAAATTAAATTTAGATCGTCATTTAAGTGATTTTTTTTCATAAAAATTAGGGCTGTCAAATGATTAATCACGATTAATCACATCCAAAATAAAAGTTTTTTTTACATAATATATGTGGGTGCACTGTGTATAATTATTTTGTATATATATAAATACACACACATGCATGTATATTTAAGAAAAAAATATTATTTATATATAAAATATTTATATTTATATATAATATAAATTATATATAAATCTATATACAGTATATACATGAAAATATTTCTTAAATATATACAAGCATGTGTGTGTATTTATATATATAAAATAATTATACACAGTGCACCCACATATATTATGTAAAAAAAACTTTTATTTTGGATGTGATTAATCGTGATTAATCATTTGACAGCCCTAATAAAAATTTAATATTTCATATGCAAGCTAAAGGTGTAGTTGAGGAATTGTGTGGTAAATGGGTACAAAAGTACTTTATATCTCCCAAAACACAGCATTAATGAATAGATGAGAAGTAAAAAAAAATAAAAAATATATATATATATTATTTGTATGATTAAAAATGTATATTTTTTGTACAATTTCTCTATCAATTGTTGGGGCCATATAGACCCCGAAGCCCAGAAGTGTAAACAGGAAACGAAGACCATTTGAGGGTTAAACATCGTATTTTAAAATATTGTTGATTACCTACAAAGCACTAAATGGTTTAGCTCCCCAGTACTTGAGCGAGCTCTTAACGCATTATAGTCCTTCACGTCTATTGCGATCTCAAAGCTCCGGCCAGTTGATAATACCGAGAATATCAAAATCGACTGCAGGCGGTAGATCCTTTTCCTATTTAGCACCAAAACTTTGGAACAATCTTCCTACCATTGTCCAGCAAGCAGACACACTCTGTCAGTTCAAAGCTAGACTAAAAACACATATCTTTGACCTAGCATTCACATTATACATTATAGACTTCTATAACTCAATGTTAGGCTGCATAGATTAGGTCAGCTGGAAGTGGGAACACTTAAATCCTGATGTACTCATTACATCATAAGAAGAATGGCATCTACTGTGCACACTATACATACTACATACTGCAGAATTAGTAGGCAGCGCTCCCTGCTGCCGCTTGCAGAGCGGTTTGGCCTCAGCTCGGATCGCTGGCATTATTAGAGGTTTGCCCACAAACACATCCTTGCACTCGGCCAGTTCCCTACTTTATACTACTCGTGACTTCTTTCACACTCTTTTTCTCAATTATGGCTCAGACATGTGAGCTGAACTGAGGTGGAATTGGCAGAAAGAAAGAAAAAACCCAAAAGGCCCTTGTGCTTCCCACCATTAATCTAAGGGGCTGAACAAATTGTTTTTTAAGCTCGCAAGGCATTGTTTCCACATTACGCGTATACTCTACAAGTATACTGAACTATCCAGCAAACCAGATTCACCCGTTCAAACCCTGCTGCTGGAGATCTAAGGTGGTTTTGAAAGTGTGTGAAATTCAATTGTTATTCAATTATTGTCTTTTAACTGGTTACCAGGCCGTTGCTAGAGTGTTTTGGCTGGTTGCTAGGGTGTTCTACAGGTAGGTGATTTATTGGCTGTTTTGACTGATGTTAGGCATGTTCTGTGTTTTACCTGCTAGGGTGTTTCAGCATGTTGCTAGGCAGTTTCCAGAGTGTTTCGGCTGGTTGTTAGGCAGTCGCTAAAGTGTTTTGACTGGTTACCAGGCAGTTGTGTTTTGGACTGGTTGCTATGCAGTTGCTAGAGTGTTTTGGCTGGTTGTTAGGCAGTTGCTAACGTACTTTGACTGATTTCCAGTCATTTGCTAGAATGTTTTGGCTCGTTACCAGGCAGTTCCTAGAGCGTTTTAGATGGTTGCTGGGCAGTTACAAGAGTATTTTGGCTTGTTGTCAGGCAGTTGCTGGAGTGTTTTGGCTGGTTGTTAAGGCAGTTGCTAAAGTGTTTTGACTGGTTACCAGGCAGTTGCCAGAGTGTTTTGCTATGCAGTTGCTAGAGTGTTTTGGCTGGTTGTTAGGTAGTTGCTAAAGTACTTTGACTGATTTCCAGTCACTTGCTAGAATGTTTTGGCTCGTTACCAGGCAGTTGCTAGAGTGTTTTGGATAGTTGCTGGGCAGTTACAAGATTATTTTGGCTTGTTGTCAGGCAGTTGCTAGAGTGTTTTGGCTGGTTTTTAAGGCAGTTGCTAAAGTGTTTTGACTGGTTACCAGCCAGTTGCCAGAGTGTTTTGGACTGGTTGCTATGCAGTTGCTAGACTGTTTTGGATGGTTGGTGGGCAGTTACAAGAGTGTTTTGGCTGGTTGCCAGGCAGTTGCTAGAGTTTTTTTTGGTTAGTTGTTAGGCAGTTTATATAGTGTTTTGGCTGGTTGTTAGGCAGTCTCTAGGGTGTTTTGGCTGGTTGCTATAGGCAGTTGCTAGAGAGGTTGGCTGGTCTATATTTAAATTATATTGATACATTTATAAGTTATTTAATTAGTTTAGAAAAATCAAAATGTGATTTGCATTATGAAGCCAAATTCGGCAGGCATTATGGAAACAGTGAATACATTAATACACAACATTAAGGCCTGCCTTAATATTTTTGATGTTTACATTGGCTTTTAGCCACGTTAATGCTCTGTAGTCTGGGAAAACATGCATATTAAAAGCCAAATAAAGCATACGCAATGCACTTTACAGAACTGTCATTAGATGGAACAAATGACCTGTGCAAACCTATGTTTTCATCAAGATGGAGTGTGTACTGTTGACAATATATATGCTTAAGAGATGTTTTCAACATTTAATAAACATAATGTTGTTTTCCTCCTTTTGGAATCCCCTCTGATATGAAAACAGACAGTAGATGGATTGTAATGAGCGAGACAGACAGGACTGATGGACATTCCTCTCTTAGTTGACACTGTAAGTTGGCAGAGCTTCTAAACACCCGTCAGTCATTTTCTTGGCAGAAACACGAAACAGGAAAAGGGGGGAAAAAGATGTGCCATTTAGACCTTTGATTTCAGCAAAACCAGACATTGCTTGATCTTTAGAAAATTCTCACAGTCAACACACGTAGAAAGATAGATAGGTAGTGTATGTTCATCTAATGGTCGGTAGGGGGAGTCTATACTGGTGTTAGTGGAAAGCAAAGCACCTTACAGTCAGCTGGATGTTCCCTTTCCTCCCTGATGGAGAGAAAGACGGAGGAGATGCTGCTTCTGCTGCTGAAATCTCCCGTTTCTCTGGCGGATTCATGGATTCTCGCGACTCTGGGATAATTTCATGAATGCAGGACCAGTTTTATTCGTGGAAGCTCCTAAAAGACTCAAAACCAGAGGTCGATGTCGTGGATGAGAGTTGATGTCGTCGACACGGTCGCGCGCATTCCTACGAATTCGCCGGAAGAATCTGCGCGAGGGATTGTTTTTATTTCGATGTAGAGCGATCGTGATGATGGATGCTGTTTATATCGAAGAACGGGAATATTATTATTTATAACACTAAATTCAAATAAAGACGCGTTGAAGAGGCCTGTGTCCTGCTTTAACCGATATCTATCATCAGCTCTCATCATTGAAGCATGTAAGCTACTGTAATGATTTTTTGTATTTATTATAATAATAATCGCGTAATTATAAACGTAAATACTAACATGTGGCCGTATAAGGACGACTTTCTTCGTTGTTTTCTTTAAAATACGTTCTTAAGTAGTGTCTTATCATATGACAGACGAAAGCAAAGAGCCGAAACGTCAGTCAACTTATCTCCTATTTATAATAAAAGATTTTTAGAGTGCAGAGCTTTTTTGCATTTCTTATACAATAATAAATCGCAAGTAATGATTTTGTCGAATTTAACGTCTTTTTAAAAAAAGATTAATAACCCAGTTGATTAGTTAAATTTTTTTTTAGGATTAATATGTTTATTGCAATTTAGTCTGATTTGTTGTAAATATTCGGCCTGAAAACTAGGATCGACTAATCGCTGTGGAGTCGTGACGTCATGGAGGCCGAATGTATTATATATTTTATCTATTTTATTTCAACTCAGCTGTCAGAGTGATGCATTCATCACATAGCAACTGCTCAAAATTGACATTTTAAAACAGTTAAAGCAACAACAACAAAATTCTGGCCTTATTAATTATATAGAGTTTGTGAATGATATTGTTCCAGCTACTGCTGACTGAATTATCTGTGTTATCGGTAGATGGTTTATCTGCTGTAATAAGTTAGCAGCCTTTTATGACTTTCTCCTTATACTGTGTCTATAGGCTAGAGGAACTTGTAAACCAGTGGATTTGGCGGCAGGACTTCTGGCTTCCTCCTGGCGTCACATGGAAAGATATCGCAGACGGGGCATCAGATGGAAGTCGGTATCCCGTACCCCGTGACCTGCTCATCTGCCTGCCCTTGGCCCTGGGTTTCATCGCCCTGCGCTTTGTTTTTGAAAGGTTGACATCAATATCATGTCTTCATTGAATTATGTTTAAATTTATTAATCTCTGTAGCTTTAAATCCAAGCAGACTAAGCTGTTAAAGCTTGCTTCTACGCATACGCAAGTATGTGTTGCGGTGAGGAAGTTTTATCCTTGCATGTTGAACTCCTGCATCTCCACCAGTAAAGATATAAGTTGTTAAACGAATCTTTTCCTTGCCGCTCGTCATTAAACAATTACATAAATGCAGAGCATTGTCTAAATAGGCACAAACTCTTATTGGTCCTTAATAAATACATATCATTTATTTATCTATCTATTGTTAATGAGAATTAAGCACATTTCCCACCCAATACTCATTAAAGTAATGCAAAAAAATATTACTACACAATAATTATGAAACAATACTGTCCATAATAATATATCATTTTTATAATATTTAATAATATACATTTTTAACCAGGCGCAATGTGGCTTATTGCGATGTGAAAACAATGTCAACCAATCAGAAGATATTTCATGTTAAATGCACATTTATGAGAAGTAATATTTTGGACCAATGAGTTTCCCTGTGGGCGGGGCTAACAAGCATTATGCAAATCAACAAAATGTTGCTTGTCTACACAAAATCGAGTTGAACAAAATATGCTGAATTAATTTTTTTTATTGATTTCCTTTGGTTATGAGGTGAATGACTCGCCCTTGACAGTTACATTCACAATTATTCTAGAGTTGTCAAGTTAGTTTGCCAGTATATCTGGATGAGCGGCTCAAGCGTAGACCTGTAGAAAGGGTGCGACTCTCTCTAGGTTACAAAGACAGCTGTTTCTTACGTCCTCCTGAAACTAAATCTTGGCCTTTATTTATCAGATGGCCCCCAATATCTGGGTCTACACCATCTTGAGTTTGAGTAAAGATCTTGAGTTACAGACATCATCAGCTGTCAAAAGTGTATCTTTTTCATTTGTGAACCGCGTCGCTCTCTTAACAAAAGCCATTGTGTGTGTCTCGTAGGGTTGTGGCGTTGCCGCTCAGCCGATGGTTGGGCGTCCGTGACAGGGTTTGGGTTCATGTCACGCCTGTCCCGAAGCTGGAGGCGTTTTACCTCCAGAAGAAGAAGCAGCCGTCACAGGTTAGTGAGTCACATGTGCACCTGTGTGTGTGTGTGTGTGTGCCAAGAATGAGATATTTAATTCTGTTTATCAACATCAGAGGCTCTGATGTCACTGTTACACCCTACATAGGCAGCTGATGAAGAGCATAGGCACGAGCATGTAGCACACAAATATTGGGTACAATTGTGCATTTTTAGTTAAATATTTCTGTTTTATCAATATTTTTCAGTATTAAACAACATTTTTTTTTTGCAATGCATTTTGGGATTGCATTCTCCCTGAATTATACATTCAGTGCAGACTTAGATTTTGGCCAAAATTATGTGCAGGCAGCAGAACATTAGAATGTAATATTAAACATTTATAAATTATTAATAATTTAGTTATAAAATATAAATAAACTTTTAGTCATTGTTAATGATTATAAAGCATGTGTAATAAGATAATTATATTATAGTACATTAATAAAATGCTAAAAAATACGTCATTAAATAAATATTTAAATCATTAATTACACTAAATAGTTAATAAAAACATTGAAAATCATTACATTTGAATAATTATTAAATCAGACAGATTAATAAATGTCTGTTGTATATTATAGTGTATATATATATATATATATATATATATATAATTATAGTAGTGATAAATAATATAATGAGTCCCAGTGTAATAATGCATTCAATTTTAATATGTATTTCTTTTAATATTTCCTTTAATTTTAGGGTAAGAAATGAGCAAGGTTTGGGGAAGGGCTCTTTTAGTTTAACTGTGTGTGTGTTTTTCTTCAGAATGATTTAGTGGTCCTGGAGAAGCACTGCGGACTCACTCAGCGCCAAATCCAGACCTGGCTGCGTCAGCGCCGGAACCAGGACAGACCCAGCAACACCAGGAAGTTCTGCGAAGCTTCGTACGCTCACATATTTTCTGCCTAAAAATAGGCCACATCATAATTTGTGCTTGGTTTGGATTTGATTAGAGTGGTCTTTTCTCTCTGGTTTCTCAGGTGGAGATTTGTCTTTTATCTCATTGCGTTCTCAGCTGGTCTCATCTCCCTGATTAATGTGAGTATCTCCAACGACTTTCACTCTGCTGAGATTTATAAAGCATCTTACCAATTCTTTCCTCAGAATCGACCCCCTCATGATCACCTTTGCAAGAAAATTTAATGAAATATCGAGAGGTTCTCAGAAATAAGGTGCCATTTGTGCCTGACAATTTCAGAAAATGTTTTTATTTCTAGCATTTCATTTGAAAACATTTTTGTTTTCATTTAGTACGTTTTGTTATTATGAAAAATGTTGGTAACACCTTACTCGAAGGGGTGTGCATAAGACTGACATGACACCTTCATAACCATGACATGACATTTGTCATGAATATGAAGTAGGGTTTATGCATGTTTATGACAACTGTCATTAAGTGTCATTCGCTCAATAATGACATTTTGAATGCAAATATGACATTGTTTAAGATGTCTTTGTTATGACATCTTGACATTAACCATAACATCATAACCTGTCAGTGTCTTTGTCATGACAACTTGACATTAAATTAAGTTAAACTGTCATGTGGTTGGTTTTGACACTGGCTGTCATGAGGCCATTATAACTGTGTCATGAATATTTTTCGTGACCTCAACTACAGTGGTACACATTCAATTTGTCATTAAAAAGTTATAATGGCCTCATGACAGCCAATGTCAACACCAACCACCTGACATTTTAATGTAATTTTAACCAATAAAGCTAAGTGGTTTCTTAAGTTTGATCATTAATCTGCTAGGTCATGTTTATGACAGGTTGTGTTGTCTTAGTAATGTCAAGTTGTCATGACAAAGACACTGACAGGTTATGATGTATTTGTTTATGTCAAGGTGTCATAACAAAGACATCTCAAACAATGTCATATTTGCATTAAAAATGTCATAACTGAGCGAATGACACTTAATGACAGTTGTCATAAACATGCATAAAACTTCCTTCATATTTATAACATGTGTCATGTCATGATTATGATGGTGTCATGTTAGTCTTATGCACACCCCTTCAAGTAAAGTGTTACCAAAATGTTTTCTTTAAATTAAGACAAGACAAGTTGTCTTCTTTTAGACTTGTGGAAAGAAAACATCCCAAATACACATTTAAGTGTTTATTTTACTGGAATGTGTCTATTTGCGTCTTTAGATTTCAGTTACAATACATACATATCTCTCAAAATGAGTTTTTTCCTCCACTTCAGTAGGACTTATACACACCAAACTTTACAGTTTTATTCCCTTCTATATTCTGAAGGTTTTTACTGAGGGGTTTGTTGATACAGTACAATTTACCTGATTTATATAACATTTAACCCCAAAAATCACAGAGAAAATGTATTTTTTTCTGGCTGTTGACAGTATTTTCTGATTTCTGGACTGATAAAAAGAGAAATCCAAAATCTCTTCTGTGAAAACCTTTCACTCTAACATGTCAACAAATTCAAACAATAATTTTGAACCTGGCTTTATCCAGTGTTTAGATTAATGTTCTGGAATTGTATTCACATTAGTCCATATTGAATTAGATAATGCATCATTTGCATATTTAAACATAAAATAAAATCTTGTATTAAAAAAAACTTAATGTACTCTAATTAATAAACTGGGTAAAGTATGGTGGAATCTAATATTTAAACATTTTACCCTATTCACTTGTGATGTCTTGCCTTGAGAAAGTGAAGAAAGTAAAGAAGTTAAGAATTTTTTTAGTTTAAATATTTATTTTATTTAAAGTTAAATATTTCTAGAGATAACTCTAAAATGTCTAAATTGGTGGTCCTTTTATGAACAATAAATTGGTGCATGTTACTCCAAAAAGTGTTTTTGTAATCAAAACTTAGCTTTTGCACTTTCTCATTTAATAATTTTTGTCAAATGATGTTCTTCAGACCTCATGGTTTTGGGATCATCGGGAATGCTGGCACGGATACCCAAGACAGGTCCGTAACAAACGCCTCTCAACACAAGCTCACTTCCTGTGAACAATCCCAGGAACTTTATGCACTCTGTTGAGCTTCTTTGAAGGAGATTAGGCAGAAATCTGAGGAACTAGTCAGCGCCGTACCCGATACTATCAAAACAATCATACAAATATATTGAATCATCTATCTCCTTAATAAAAATAAAAATCTTTTGTTTTCAGAAACAAAGGATAAAATGTTTCTGCAACTTTTTACCTTTCACTTGTTTGAATATTGGTGTTAATCAAAAACTAGATAAATAATTTTTTTTTTGTCAAGACAAACTTTGACGTTTGGCTTGATAAAGGCTGGCGAAAAATTTAAGTAGTTTTAAAATTTAAATTTAAAAAGTTTAAATCTTTTAATTCTGAAATAGTTTTATGTTCGAAGTAGATTTAAAAAGTAGGTTTTAAGGCCAGAAAGAAAGATACATACATACATTGATGGTAGATAGATAGATAGAAAGATGCGTACATACCTAGATAGATAGATAGATAGATAGATAGATAGATAGATAGATAGATAGATAGATAGATAGACATCTATTTTTATTATGTTAAGCCAAAATTCATAGTTGTGCTTTTCTAGATCATATTGTCTTATTATTTCTGATTTCATCTGTAGGCCGTAGCAGAAGCTCAGTACTGGTATTACATCATGGAGTTGTCCTTCTACCTCTCGCTTCTGCTCTGCGTGTCTGTGGACATAAAGCGCAAAGTAAGTTTGACTCCTTCAACATGAACTTATAAGGATCTTATAATTGATAAATTGTGCTTATGTGATTTTTTGCTTATGTGATTTTCCTGGATGTGTAGGACTTCAAAGAGCAAATCATTCACCACATCGCCACCATTTTCCTCATCGCATTCTCGTACTGTGCGAATTATGTACGAGTGGGAACCCTGGTGATGCTTGTCCACGACTCCTCGGACTTCCTGCTGGAGGTAAATCGCTGAATTTGATTGGCTGCTCTGTGAGTCTCAGTCTTAGGATGCATTAGTGAATAGTGATACAATTGAAACAATAGTTTTATGGTACCAATTGCCACTTAATTCGGACTTGTGTTCATTAAAATGTCCACAAAATTCATCGCAGAAGTTTTTACTGTAAAAATAGTTTAGATCTTTCTTGTCAGATTTATTTTAGTTTCAGGTTCTTTTTGCTTCAGGGGTAAATACATACCTGGACATACATTATAGATTCACAAATTCCCCTTATTGAAAATATTTTTTTTTTCCTTAATAGTAATAGAATGAAACACATAAACGACCTTGACTTCCATCAGTTTATCGCTCACATAAATAACCAATGTTTCATCTTTGTTTAATTGTGATTTGCAGTCTGCCAAAATGTTCAATTACGCTGGATGGAGGAAGACATGCGATGCCCTGTTTGTCATTTTCGCCGCGGTTTTCCTGCTAACTCGCCTCGTGGTTTTCCCATGCAGGTAATAACTTCATCGCATCATGTATGAAGGCACGTTTAATTTGAAACGCTGATTTTGAATACATTCTTCTCAAGTATAAGATGTCCAGATGGCTTAAAACATTACTTATAAACTTCATTTCCAGAGTTATCTATACAGCTGTGGTGGATTCTTTGGACGTCTTTCTTCCGTACTCTGGTTATTATTTCTTAAACGGCCTATTGCTGGTTCTTCAAGCACTGCACATATTCTGGGCTTGGTTGATTCTTCGAATGGTTCACAAATTTGTCTTTTTAGGCAAAGTAAGTATCAAAGTTGCTATGTCTTTAACTTTTTTCTAAGTGTTACGGAATAGTCAGTTAAAAATATAAAAAAGTCAATTATTTTCCGAAGTGTTATGGAATAGTCATTTAAGAACCGTCAACGTGTTTTTAAGGTGGAACGCGATGAACGGAGTGATGAAGAGAGTGAGGTTGATGAAGATGAAGTTGGAGAAGAAGAGTGCAGTAGGGAGCAGAAAAAGGGTGCATTTAACTCAAAATTGGCATCATTGGCCAATAACTGTGTTTTGAACAATTTAACCAATCAAAGACGAAAAATGAATAGCAGAATGCCAAAAGCCAGATAGTAAAGCTACTTTATGTATTTTTTGTGTTTAAACATGTTAAATCACCTCCACTCCTCTTGGCTTATCTTGTTTGTCAAGGTCCACCTTTGATTTGACAATGTTTTGGTTGTGTGATATGGAGAACCTAATGCACTGATTGCGTAGAATAAATACTACTACTTGTTTGTATTATTACATTACCATTAGAGTATATTTGATATGCGCTGTCTTTAATTGGTTTAATTAAAGTTAGTCTAATTAATCAAAGTGATGGCTGTGTAGAACTTAAACAGCTAAATAAATAGATTGGGTGCATAAAAAGGATTCATAAACACTTATTGAACTGTTGTTTAAATTAGGTTGCTAATGTTCTGCAACTGTTCGTTCTGAAATAGTTAAGTTAACAACTGATAAGTTAACAAAAGTCAGCTCTCCTGATGAGAGATACCCACAATATTTAGTGGCATTCTTTTTAAGTACTTTTAATAGAACAAAACATGGATATTTTAGTCTTCTAAGTTGTGTGAAAGTGTGAGCTTTCTGCAGTGGATCTTGTTTTTCTAAATGGGCATTTGTGGTCCACTTAGAAAAGACTTAGAGCGCCATCTATTGGTGAAATATCCAATTGTCTTTGTGATTTTGCTACTGTTGCAAGGAACTACTGGGGCTTGTTGTTTTGTAAGATAGTACTTTTTGTTGTGCATTGCCTTATCATACAAGAAATGCGATGATTTGTGCATAGAAATCTTAAAAGTAAAAGTGGGCAGTGGGATTTGAGGACTCCTATGTAGACCCCTTCATTTCTTGATTATTGAATCTGCTCCAAGGGCTAAATGTTTTTGTTGTTCTGCATAGGGCTGGAAATGTATTAATGTTTAGAATACATTCACACACCTAGCCTAAGTTGTTTATTTGCACTATAGCCATAAACTGAGCCTTTGTCTGAAATCTGTGCATCTGTCGTACACTGTTTCACTTTTGTTTTAAAATGACCTGTGATTGTTTTTGTATGTTTAGTTATTGGGATTTTACTGTGCTCTGATTTCATTAATACTAACATACTGCAGATGTTTTTAACTTGTAACGATGACAGAAGAGGGATATATTAATAAGAACTTCCATCTTCGATACTGTGTTATTATTGCATACTTGTTTCTCACTCCACCATTTTCTCTGTGACCTTTTGAATAACAATATAAATGTTAAGAACAATGATCCTCATATAATTAATTATCCCCAACCTTGCTCAACAAAATGTTTCTGTATTTGGTTTATTGTATGTCATTTGTCTGAACGAAAGAACCGTGTTAACATGGCTTCAGAAGGGATTCACATGCATTGTGACAGAACCTCTTATGGGTACAGGACAGGGTATTTTATCATCAATTTCTAAGCAAGTGTCAATGTAAGGGTCCAGTAGGATCATGTTTGGTAATGTTTTGTTAATCTTCCTCTCGCTCAGTATGTAAATCTGCCCGTTTACTGTGGCACAGCCTGTGAAGAATTTGTTGTCCAGACAGTCCTCTTGAAGAATGGTCCACTCGTCTGTGTCGATGTCTAAGCGCAGAGCCTGTCCTCCCAGCAGATAAAGAGCACCATTGAGCTCTGTTGCAAGAAGGTCGTAACTGGAAAAGAAGTACATGTGTACAGAACTGATACAGGACTGGTTGAAGTGGCATCTGTGCATTGCCTTAAAACAGGAGTGGGAAACTCTGGCCCTCGAGGTCCATTGTACTGCAAAGTTTAGCTTCAATCCTAATCAAACACACCTGCCAACAGTTTTCAAGTAATTGTGATTTTTCAGACTTGTTTGATTTGTGTTGTAGCTCAACTCTGCAGGGCAGTGGACCGTGAGGGCCAGAGTTGCCCAACTCTTCCCTAAAACAAGTTGGACACAATTTTGTTTACTCACCGTGGGAATGGAGAATATGACACCACGTCCCATTGGTCAACCTCTGGCCTGTACCTCTGAATCCCACTGTAAACTTCTCCATTCTCATCCAGACCACAGGCCACGTAAATACAAGTCCCCAAACTGACAATAGCCGCCCTTTCCACAGCCCTCACCATGGGACTGACGGCATCCCATTCTTCTGCTCCCAGAACCAATCTCTCAACGTCAGCCACAGGTCCCTCATCCGTGCTACCGCCAAATACAAACAGCTTGAACTCCAGAGCCGCTGAGCAGTGGCTGTGTCTGGACTTTTGCATCGCCGGGCCATCCACCCACTGCTCATTGGCACATTGATAAATGCTCACCCAATCCACGTTGTACCACAACACATCCCGAAAGTAGCCTCCAGTCACTACTATGCTTTCCCCTTAGAGAAAGAAATAGCGTTTTAGATGGTTAGGACAGTAAGACAAAGAATGTGAAATAACATCCCTATTCTGATCCTGGAGATCTACCTTAATGCAAAGTTCCCAAATCAAACACCTAAACAAGCTCATTAAGTTCAGGAACACTCGATAGTTACAAAACGGGTGTATTGGAGCAGGGTTGGAACTGAACTCTTCTGAAAGGAACTCTTCTTTTGCAGGGATGGATGGGATTGGCACCATCCACTGTAGGGGTGAAACTGATACTACAACTGCATTTCTTTCTTATCCTGTCCACAGAGAACAAATAAAGTTGTTTAACTTCAAGTATGACTGCACAATAATCGGTAATAGTTCTGGTTGGCTATTCATATCGCAAAGCATTTTGGTTATATGCTGTTCTCTGCTACCCCTCTTTCACAAGTGTAGTACTTTTAATTGGGTAGATCTACAGGAACAGGTTTGGGCACTCCTGACATAAAAGGCTTATATTGGGAAAGGTATGCAACACCTGATCAACCAATATTCAGATAGGTCATTATGCTAACAACTTGTGGCAGGTTAAAATGTATAGGGCCAGACGAGGTTGTTACCTACTGCAGCCACGGAGTACTGTGTGAGACACTTCTTTTGCAGGGGTGGATGAGATTGCCACCTTCCACTGTAGGGGTGGAACTGGTACAGCAATTGCTCTTCTTGCTCATGCGGCCCACCGAGAACAAACAGAGTTTCCCTTGAACGAGTTCTAGGGATAGACCTGCCCATAGTCCAACTACAGGGCAAGTTATCGTTCAGTTTACAAATTAGCTTAGCACGTGGGTCTGAACTGTTTATCTTGGTCAGAAGATCAGTAATGTAGGGAAGACTTAAGCACTCAGGCCTAACCAGGCCCACTAGTTCCATGAAGTCTTCTTCCCGGCTTGGGGCAAAAGCTGCCCAGCGAAGGGCCACGTCAAGGACCAGGTCTTCCCTGGGAATGCTTAAGTTGTCGCTAGCGAGGAGGTTGGCAATGCTTTCTTTTGAAAGGAACATAAAGTCCTGCTCGGAGGCTATGGCAGGTAGATGGGTCAAAGCTACTTCCCTTGCTGCGGCGTAGAGGTCCAGACAGCCAAGCTGCCAAGCATATGCCATCATTCCCAAACAGTTACTAAGATGCAATTGCCTTTCCAAGAACTTACAGCAGAGTAGCCGAGCCCTGTCCAACTGAAGGAAGTCGGCGGCCTCCAGAATATCAAGGACGTTCTTTCTGTCCAGGGTCAGCTTTAAGTTCTTTGTGAACTCCATCAGGGTGTGAAACTGCCGCAGTCCAACTCCCTTAATCTCAATGTGCTTCCTAGTGCTCTCCCGACCGCCACCGAAGAACAAGGCTCGGAAGTAGGGACTCAGCTGGGCCAAATGCTTGCGGTTCACAAAGAATAACTCTCCTTCCACCTGGAGCACTACGTCAGGAGCGACAATGATAGCATGCTGATCCTCCTCAATGAAATCTTTCTCAGTTTCTGGGCTCCGAACATTGGTACCTACTTCTTGCTTTACACAAGCCATGATTGTGCACTTGCCCTCCCACCACTTGCTTCTCTGCTGAAGCGAATCATGTGACATTTATAGCCTTGCCCTAGCCTGTCACATACTCTCCATGGGAATGGGGTCAGCAAGCAAAGGAATACAAGGGCTAAATATATCTTGGGTACAGTGCTAGCAATGCCTGATTTCAAAAAGCACACAAAATGCTTTTGTGAATATATTAAAGGACATCTTTTTCGAGGATTATTATACACTGCAAGGCTGAAGTCAGTCTCCACATCAAGGTTTGAAATGTGTACGTATGCAAGATTTAAGTCAATACCGCAAGGGGTAGATTTTGAACAACTGAACAGTTATAATCCATATGAGGATTTTACTTTGGGAAATATTGATGAATTTTTTTAAATATCTATATAGCTCAATAAATAAATAAATGCCTTTAGATAATACACTACATGAAGGGTTTCATGTATTTTCAATTCATATTTATTAAACTTTTAGCATTTTGTGATCTTGTCAACATTTACTAGCGTCAACTGACTCTTAAAAACAGATAAGTCATTTAAACAACTGCACAATTGTAGCCTACCCTAAATCTTGGATACATTTATTTGTTTGATTTCACTGCAATGTTTTAATACAAGAATAATGCAATTCAATGTTTATACATTTAACTTCAAGTATAACTGCACAAGAACTGTGTAAAGAGTACAAATCACAAGCGTAAATTTGTTTTTTGAAACTCTAATTTTCCTTACCTGATAAAAAAGAAATAGATAGTCAAAAGTTTACCATCTCCCCGTCGGGGAATCGAACCCCGGTCTCCTGCGTGACAGGCGGGGATACTTACCACTATACTAACGAGGAGCAAGCCATAAAAACAGCCAATAGATGGCATCAAGAACCTATGATGTAAAAATACACAACATTGACTGGAACTGGCATTTCATTTTATTATATCATTGTTTTACTGGAATGCCATAGTATTCTTTGAAGTATGAATAAAATACTATATATGAACTCCCAATACCATAGTATCAACCAAAGTAATGTGGTTCATTGTGTAAGGGTTTTAAAACCACATTGTCAGTTTGATTATGGATCATTTCTAATGAACAAGCAGTATCCAATTGGAAACTCCAATGAAGCTTTTTAAAAGCAATTTATTTCACACACCACTAAAACAATACATTCATAAACCACTCAGCAAACCATTTTGTGCTTAAGACCAAACTATTTCATGTTTACTTTCTACACATCAGATCCTTTGAGACAAAAAAAAAGAGAAAGAATACAAAACGCTTGAATAAAAACTCAAAACTACATCACATAGTGTAAACAGGACTCTTGCCTGTACCTGTTAGAACACTATTTTTTCAACCAACTAGATAAAAATAACACCCTTCCAGCACTTTTAACTCTATACAAAGCAAACCCATAGGAGCAGGACACATCATTTATATAAAAATATATGCATTCTGCATCCACTTTAAACACTGCACTGCAATTTCTTCCATTTTCAGTTTCTAATTTCGTTTGGCACTGTCTTACGTGTACAACAGAGACCAAGACAACACTCTTTTTTTCTCCTTCACTCAAATATGTACAAATATTTAAATTACATGTATGCATATTTTCATGAGGTTTTAGAGACGCGCTGAGACACTCGATCACATTCAGTTGCTTCACTACATAAAATACCTACGATTGTTGCAGCATTTCGGGCTCCGTTCAAAACCACTGCACAAGTTTCTACTGCATACCAAACTGGTTTTATGTTGGAACTTTAGACTGTAAACATAACAGAAATAAAATCTAGTTAAGTAGCTGACTTAAACATCTCAACCATCAATACTGTTTTTTGAACATGGGTTTAAAAACACCAACATCCCCATACAGTGGGTTTATTTCTAATATTAACATAGGATAACTGCAAAGTAGTTTGGTGGCATCCACTGAATGAAAGCTGGACAGGAAATGAAACATTAAAAATGATATAAAATGGCAGTTAGAGAAGTAGACACCATATTTATTTGAGAAAGTCAACAAAAATGGGCTTGTTTTCATTGACGACAAACTAAATTTGGCATCTACCCTGACTGAATCGCCTATTTATTAATAATACAGATGAAAAATATTAATTCTGATGGCGAAAAATGAAGCTTGAGAGAGTTTTTTGGCTGGGTTTTAACTCACTCGACGCACACAGCAGTGATAGCAGCAGAAACCAGACAGACAACAGACACCCCATCGTGGAGGATCGGCTATATCTATCAAAATAAAACGCTGTGCTGATATATAACCTCGCATCATGGCTTCAGTTTAAACTCCACGACAATCATCATGGAAGATCAGTCGACTTCCTATTCGCTTCAGCGCACACATTCACACACAACGCACAGCATGCGCACGCTAGCATCCTCTCCGCCGGCGTCCTCGGCGTTCACTCGTCGTCAAAGTTCTGCTGGAGCAGGAAGTTCGCGGCCAGGTTCTCGTTCTTCTCGCAGGCGAAGTAGGCTTGGATGACGAGTCCCTCGGGAAAACCCAGAGCTTTTAACTACAAAACATAACCAGATTTTAAGATTCTGCAAATTTTTTTTTATAACTATTATAAATTAAAAGCACTTGAATTATAATAAATTATAACACAATATAATTAATAAACACATTATTATGACAATTAAAATACATTATTTTAAATTGTTTTAGTTCTGCTTTTTCACAAAACAACTACATGACCATTAGAACAATAAAATATAAAAAATAATATATGGATACATTTTTAGTAATATTAATTTCTTGTTTATGTAAATAATCTTAATTTAATTTTAGTATTAGTTAATTAGTAATAGTTAATCATTATCATTGTATAATCATTGTGCTATCAAATCGATTAATTGCATATAAGTTTCAAATATATGTATATATACATATGTGTGTGTAAATAAATATATATTTAAATATAATAATACACACACACACATATACATTTACTAACTTTCATTTAAGATGCGATTAATCACAGTTAATCGATTTCAAAATGATTAATTGCATATAACATAAAAGTTTGTTTATATAATATGTGTGTATATATTATAAATATTATATATATATTAGGGCTGTCAAATGATTAATCACATCCAAAATAAAAGTTTTTTTACATAATATATGTGGGTGCACTGTGTATAATTATTTTATATATATAAATACACACACATGCTTGTATATATTTAAGAAATATTTTCATGTATATACTGTATATAGATTTATATATAATTTATATTATATATAAATATTTTATATATAAATAATATTTTTTTCTTAAATATACATGCTTGTGTGTGTATTTATATATATACAAAATAATTATACACAGTGCACCCACATATATTATGTAAAAAAAACTTTTATTTTGGATGTGATTAATCGTGATTAATCATTTGACAGCCCTAATATATATATATATATATATATATACATACATACATACATATTTTTATATATATATATATATTTATATATAGTGCTGTCAAAACGTATTAATGTTAATTTTATTTTCGGTTTAGATGTAGTTAATGTAGTTAACTAATGTTAATATAAGGGAACTTACTGTAAAGTGTTAAACCAAAAACTTAATTTATTTCAGCTAGTTGCCAAAGTAACATTTCTAATTTTTGTAATTTTTTGTGTGAAAATTCCACGACACCAAATGTTTAACTAGTCAAATAAATGTGACAATTTCCCAATAGCTGTCACTAGTACGGCAGACGTGATAGTTTATCTCCCAGAAAGCGCTGGTAGTGTTCGCGCACCCTCTCGATGGCTTCCTTCTCCTGCGGCGTGACCTGGATGTAGTTCCTCGGTGGTTCGCTGGGCACTTCGGCGGCTCCGGCGGCTCCGGCCTCGACGGCGTGCGGCTCGTTCAACATCTGCACGAACCGCTCCTGATGCTGCGTGATTTGCTGCAAGCACACATATCGTCACCTTCCTAAAATAATTGCCCACGTCATTTTTTCAGGTTTCTCAGAAAATACACAAAACTGAACTAATAACTGAATATATTATATTTATTTCGTTCTTCTTGATGCAGCTTAGCCTGGGTTTCCCCATACTGCCTTTGCGCAGCGCGATTTTATTCACGCTGCTAGGCGGTCTGGATATCATGGACCAGATTTTCGCCTCAGCGAGGGGACCAATCACAGAACGGGGAGGGAGCAGCAAGACAATGACCATAGATATCCATAATAAAGGCTAGATGTGTTACGGCGGAGTCTCTATCGTCATCACCGGCGGCCATCTTGTCACAGGCAAGCTTTCTGGCGGGCTCTGTGGTGCCTGATGTAAGATGAGTGATCAGCACGAACACAAATACTCTTATCTTGACGGATTTACAAACAGTTTGGTTTCTTACAAACGTTATTAACGTGGCTATAATTCTGGATTATTTATTTATTTATTTATACACTTATTATTCATAAGTGTGCAGTGTCATAACTACATCTCTGACGTTTATAACAAACCAAACCGTTTGAAAATCGGTAGAAAATTGAGCAAGTTATGGTTTTTTAAAAAGTACATGCGCCATTAAAACACAATGTTACGAGTGAGCGAGCTGACTGTGACAAGATGGCCGCCAGTGTGGACATCGACCTCCATTGGCCAGCAGCGCGGACGAGACATCTAGCCTTTATTATGGATACCTATGCATACGCCATCGTGTACACATAAATCTCTGACCCATCGTCTTCTTCCTCGTCTAATTTCTGTCGCTCTACATACGCCATCTGGTATAATTGCAACGATTGGCTATGAGCTACGTACAGGCGCATTTGATTGACATTCGTAGCACCCAGTAAACGGCTCTGGGCATTCGTAAACCTTTTTTTTCCCAGTAAAATCAATGTAATATCTTCGTTCAATAATTTAATATTTTTATATTTTGAGAGAATATTATGGTACTAAGTAATATTTAAGCAACAATTACGATCCACTTGTTTCCACAATTTTTACAATGAATTATTTAATTAAAAAAATTATGAATTTGTTTAAATTATTTTTCAATGATACCCAACATCATGGCTTTGTAGATTCTTTTTATATTTCACAATAAATTTTATAGCGGCCATTTTTTGTATTTTTTAAAGGACCTTTTAATCTTTTCAAATCATGGCAATGATTTAATTTTTTTTTTTTTTTTTGTGTTCACATAGCAAGTGCCACAAAAGTCACTAAGTGTTATACAGTTCAGATTAATAAAAAAAGAAAAATATATATAAAACATAAGAAAATAGTAAAATAAAAATTTTCAGTCAAAATTGAATATAGTCATGTTTAACAGTGGAATAAGTGGTGAACAAATAGCAGACAAATAGCGATCAATTTTATTTTCACAATATAATACAACTAATTAATCCTAACATTGAAAAAATTATAATAATAATATATATATATTAAAATACATTTTCAATTAACACCATATGCATAAACCCAAGGGACTAATTTGCCACTGGTTCCCTCAGGATTTTCCTATGAATTTTTATAATAGGGTTTTTCAATTTAAGAGTTAAATAAGGTATGTGGTATATGTAAGTTGACAATACTTGGACATTTTGTTCTAAAGTACGATGTCACGAAAATATATATGTATGTATATGTGTGTGTATAAATATATATAAATATAATCATATATACACACACATATATTTACTAACTTTCATTTGAGATGCGATTAATCGGTTTCAAATCGATTAATCACATATAACATAAAAGTTTGTTTATATAATATGTGTGTTTATATATATGTGTACACACACACACACACACACACACACATATTATATAAACAAACTTTTATGTTAGATACGATTAAACACGATTAATCGATTTATATATATATATAGTGCTGTCAAATTGTATTAATTTTAATTTCATTGTTGGTTTAGAAGTATTGTTCATTATTAGTTCATGTTAACTAATGTAGTTAACTAATTTTAATTTATTACTTTATTGTAAAATGTTAAACCAAAAACTTTATTTATTTCAGCTAGTTGCCAAAGTAACATTTCTATTTTTTACTTTTGTGTGTGAAAATTTCAGACACCAGCGGAACCAAATGTTTGACTAGTCAAGACGAATGTGAAAATTTCCCAGTTGTCACCGCAGCACTCTATTGGCCGGTACTCGGCTAAGCTCCGCCCACCTGCAGGAGTTGCGGGTTGTCTCGGCCCAGTTGCTGCAGCAGCGCCGGCAGGAGCGTCGGGTTCTGCTGGATGATCTGCCGCATCTGCTGGAACTGCGGCTGGTTCCTCAGGAACTCCAGCGGGTTCGCCGTCACCGGCGCGGATCCGGACTCCGCACCTGCTCACAGTATAGAAAGGGCTGTACAGGAGTCTGGCCCAAGACCAAAAATCAAGGAAAAGTAAAAAAAAAAAAAACGGATTTTCTTTGTTTTGCACTTTGTCTGCAACACTGTGTAATTTATGTCAAGTAAAAACAATGTCAATGTGTGTTTACTTTAAACTTTGATGTTAACTCATTGTTAATGCTGTATGTGTTGATAATATGGATGCGTGTTCGCGTTACAATCCGGCGAAAATCAACACTACGAAAAACACTAAAAAGTCACGTAAACACATAAAACCTCTATTGTAGGTTTTGTAGACATTTAAAAAAAACTTCAAAACATAATAAAATGACTAATACTTTAACTTTTTATTTAATTACTAAATTACTTTAAAACTTACTTTTTTTTTACAAAATAAAAAAAAAACTAATTCAAAATATCAACATATTTCATATATCAACATATCAAATATAATATTTATTTTCTCAAGTTTTTAGGCCTAGTAACATCTGGAAAAGGGACTACCAGTGAAAACTAGCCTTTGGGCTAATTTGGTTACATTTATATTTATGAATGTTGATTATTGTACACTTTCCTTTTTTTTTAAATAATAAAAAAGGAATAATAGTATATCAATGCTACTAAAATGACTAGCTTGTCAGATACAAAAAAATATATATGAGAAATAAAAAAAAATCTAATATTTTGTTCCAACTAGTTTTAGGGACTATGATTAATGTGCAAATAACTACAAGTATAAATAGTATCTAACATTATTTGTACTTAGTGTAAATAGCATTTATCATTTTTGTTATGCCTGTTTCTTACACTTATTTTCAGAGATGCAACTAGTAATTGAGATCCATTCAGAAAACTAACAACCAAAAAGAAATTTTTCTTTGACTGTGAAACAGTAAAGTCTTCAAGTTCAAGTAAACCTTGAGTCTAAAATTTCATCAAAGGTCTAACATATTCATATTTTAGTCTAAAATAAAGGTGTCTAAAATAAAATAGATGTTTCTTTGTAGTTTTTCAAAGTGTTGACTTTTGGCGAATTGCATGGAAAGCAATGGGGTCCAACACAATCGCATTCACCAAAATGTGTACAGCCTTTCCAAAACACATCTATGCCTCAATATTTTGCATGCACATTCATGACCCTAAATGAGAACAAATCACCAAATTTCAAGAAGAAGTAAATAGTTTAACCAGTGTTTCAAACAGTTTAAAAATCAAATGCGCAACACAATAGGACGATTAAGTTAAAAACACTTCAACTTTAAGATTTTCCTTATCCGCTTAAAGGATTAGTTTACTTTAAAAAAAACTTTTGCTGATAATTTACTCACCCCCATGTCATCCAAGATGTCCATGTCTTTCTTTCTTCAGTCGAAAAGAAATTAATGTTTTTGATGAAAACATTCCAGGATTTTTCTCCATATAATGCACTTTACTGGGCACCAAACGGTTCAAGGTCTAAATGACCGTTTCAGTGCAGCTTCAAAGGGCTTTAAACGATACCAGACGATAAATAAGGGTCTTATCTAGCGAAACGATCTGTCATTCAAAAAATAAATAAAAAAGTTAAAGTTTTATAGGCACAAATGCTCGCCTTGCGAACTCTCCTGTTCAAACTCGTTCATCAAAATGAACAAATCTTTTTTCGAGTCAATGACTCGAAAAAAGATTCGTTCATTTTGATGAACGAGTTCGAACAGGAGAGTTCGCAAGGCGAGCATTTGTGCCTATAAAACTATTATTTTTGAAATGACAGATCGTTTCTCTAGATAAGACCCTTATTCATCGTCCGGTATCGTTTAAAGCCCTTTGAAGCTGAACTGAAACGGTCATTTAGACCTTGAACCGTTTGGCTACCATTGAAGTCCATTATATGGAGAAAAATCCTGGAATGTTTTCATCAAAAACATTAATTTCTTTTTGACTGAAGAAAGAAAGACATGGACATCTTGGATGACATGGGGGTGAGTAAATTATCAGTAAAAGTTTTTTAAAAAGTGAACTACTCCTTTAATATAAAGAACACCAGTACATCCAAGTGTACTGAAATAGTCAAGACTCCTCCATCAGCTGTGCTACCGAAATAACATTTTAACGAATTAGCAAGAACGCAGCAGCTGTAGGGCAAACTAGTGTCTATTTCCATGAGTCCTAAACAAATGGCCACTCACCGGTGGCGGCTGCGGCTGCGGCAGCGGCGGGTGGAGGCTGAGGTCGCTGTGGGGCGGGGGGGGTGGGGTTGGACACGGCACTGGGCTGAACTACTTCTTGTGGCGGCTGCTCGGATTCTGTGGGAATACCCTTGAGGAACGGACATTAGCAACTCGTGAATTTGTGTGGTATAAATCGGAATTACACTGATATGTGAAGTCAAATAAGGCGCTATAAGTCAACATGAAATGTCTTGACCCCAAAAATGAAATGACTTCTCAATGTTTCAATGAACACTTAAATCCATGAACGTTTCACCAATCATTATAACATAGGTCTTTAGCAACCCGGATCGATCTCTAAAGCCCCTTTCACACAGCGCGTTGATCCCGGGAAATTGCCGTAAAATCGCTAGAGTGTCTGTTCTGTGTGAACCCAAACACGTCCCGGGATTGAAGCCGGGATGGGGACCTAGAAACATTGCTGGGATCAGTCCCTGTGAACTAAAGCCAGGACCAATGCCGTAAGGGGTGTGTCGTAGTGATGCCTTTCTACAGCATATGGGGAACGAGCCACTCGGCAAACCCAGTGGCGCTACTGGGGAGCATGGACTCGTCTCCGTGTAGAAATGAGTTATCAGCAGAACTGACATCTGACAGGAGTTATCACATCCTGACGTCACGTGTCTTTACGGGATGTGTGTGTGAACGCACTCACAGATTCCGGAAAATCACTGGCAGTGTGAATGAACCAAAATCAAACGATCCCGGTACAAATTGTATTTTCCTGAATTTCAGTGTGAAAGGGGCTTTACACAGATGGATCTCTAACTGCCGCAATGGTATAAAACACTCCTGATATTTTAATAACAATTACAAAAGAATAAAATTAAACATATCTTGTTACTTTCTGGAACTTGGAAGGGTTCAATTTGAGCAGATGCTTTTTATCATCATCACTGTCATCGCCAGAGCTCATTAATATCTAATTTAAAATAATTTATCTATTCAATATTATATTTCAATATTAGTATTAATCATTACAATTATCATTACTCTTTTTGTTATTTATGCCATATGGGTGTGTGTAAATATATATATATATATATATATATATATATATATGTGTTGTGTGTGTGTGTGTGTAAAGTTGTTTGGTGATCTAAATGGTTTGCATGGATGTAAGATACCGGTACACATTTAAAAAGTCATTTTTTAAAAGTTGAGTAATTATCCAAACAATATATTAAATAAGCTACTTTGCCAACCAAATGGACCCAATCTCTGAATTTATTTTTCTAGCAAGAAAATCCTGTTTCACTCAGAAACGTGTCACATTCCAAAATAAAACGAGATGCAAATGTCATTTCATGTTGCCTTTAAGCAAAAATATGCATTTAAAGCATAAAACATACAACTCTTACCATAAGCAGGTACTCCACGGCTCTGTCCGGATTGTTGAAACTTGCTCGTAAGGCGGATATAACCTGTTCCCTCTCATAACCCATTGACATGATTTCCGTCACCAAATTCTCATACGCTTGACCCGTAACTAAAAAAACGACAGATGTTAACGTCAAGTTCATGTCTCCTTTATAACAAAACAAATAACCCAAACTTACCTAGTATGGATGCAGCTGCTTCTAAAAGACCCAACTCATCTATAATGCTACACAAAATAGACAAATTAAGAGATTTTCATTCTTTTTAGTAATAAAAAACATGCTTTTTTTGTGGGCGTGGCCATACCTGGCTTCTGATTGGGCGATGGCCTGCTCTTCTTGAGCGGCCTGGTTCTCCTCTTCTGAGATCGGAGCAGGAGTCTCGCTAACAGTCTCGGGCGTTTCGGCAGCGGCCTCCGAGGCAGCAGGGGGCGCTGTGACGGGTGCTGGCTCTACAGGAGCCGGAGCGGGGGTTGATTCAGGCACTGTGGAGGCGGCAGGAGTCGTGGGCAGATGGACGGGGGTTTCAGCGAGAGATGCGCTAACTGGAGCAGGAGCTTGTGGTGGTGTGGCAGATTTAGGCTGTAGAAAGAGAAACAGGACTGCACAGAGAACTACTAGCTATGTTTGCATCCAAAGTTGCAAATTTAACTTTTACGAAATATTGGAACATGGCATAAAACATATGAGATTTGCGCAAACTATAGGCCTGTTCACACCAGGACGAATTTCACGCGCGATATTCGCAGACGTTTAACGCCTCATGACTAAACAAAGGGCCTGTCGCGATAGTCGATAAATCAATTAATCGCACAATAAAAATGTATAACAATATATTAATTTATAACAATTTATCGTCCAGCAAAATTTGTTATCGTGACAGGCCTATGTGAGTGTGCACACCGACGCGAAAAACGCCACGCGTAAAAGCGTCATTTTTTTAAAACGCCTCGGGTTAGTTTTTTTGGTTTGACGCGCCGCATCAAAAACTATCCGACCAATGAGATTGGCGCTTTTGCTCACGTGTCTGGAGCTTCTGAAGTTACAGTAAAACACAACTTGGGGGCGCTCAAACACAAAACGGTCTTGCCGAGCACACATACGTAACGGCGAAGAAGATGTACGCCAAGTAGCGTCTACACTGCCGGGAAGAAATAAGACGAGGAAGATGCAAGGCAAGATGAATGTAGAGCTGCTGGTCTCGTTGGTGTCGGAACATAAAGAACTATATGACAAACGCGACAGCGACTACAAAATAGGACTTTCTGTTTTACATTAAGCGCCATCTAATGTCAGGGAATGAATTTGCATGTTCACTCGGCTCATCGTCAGCGGAAATCGCTTGGGTGTGAACACAAAAAACGCTGGCGAATAACGCGCGTCGATATTCGTCCCGGTGTGTACGGCCCTTAACGATGATAAAAATAAAAGTTGAGGCAACCACTGTGGCACTTTTCCCCCCCCTACATAATATATGTCGTTTTTCCAGTCGTGACGTCACAGAAATAGAAACCGTTTACAAAACTTAGGACAAAAACTCTTTATCAAGTATCGCGCCTGGTTTGCGCACAGACGAAACGCAATAATAACCGCTGTCATGTTTTCTTGCCTTCGGATGCCTGATGTTTGCAATTGTGAACGCAATTATGTGAGACACTTCTGGGTGGGATTAATACCAAATCATTTTGATGACAGAACAACTAAAACAAAATGTGAGATGCTGTGCGATGCGATTGGTCCACTGGTTAGTCCAGTTATCCAATCACATCGTCTGTTGATTTTTTTGTTGCACATAGTGTTTCTATCACACGCTTTCTTATCGGATAAAGAAATTATTCAAGTTTATTGAGCATAAGTATTTTTGTTTATTATGTGCATACATTTTTAAGATTTTAAGCACATCTTGATATTTCCATCTAGCGATTTATATGCAGTATCGCAAACTTCAAAAGGAAAATACATGGATTGAAACAGCTACTTTAAGAATTTAAAGAAATAATTCTGATTAGGTTTTTAATGGAAGTGAAGCGTTTATAGATGTTGATAATGCTGTAAAAATGCAAAGACCTGATGAAGAAGGCAATGAGAGGATTGCGAGAAATAAAACAGCCGTACCTTTGTAACCATCACCACGACAAAGTTCTTCTCGTCTATTTTGTATTCTTTTAGAGGTATATCATCATTCAAAATTTTGCCTGCGTTTCATGGAGAAAAACACATGTCAAAATCAAAGAGCATCTTATAAGAGATCCACACAAAGAAGAATGTGATGCATGGAAAAACAAAATATGGTATTTAATATTTAAATTTTGCAATGCCAGAAATAAAAATGTCCAAAGACAGAGGAAATTAAGAAACAGACCTGCATAGATTAGTTTTTGACCGACAGCTGGAAAAGCATCTTGCCCCTTTTCTTCCTGTATCTTTTCTTTAAGAGCCTTTACCTGTATTTACAATATACAAGGTCAATATTTCATCAGATACTTTTATATAAGTATGTCAATAATATACAGTGATGTCTAAATACTCTGGGACATAATTGGATTTGTTTGAGGTTTTTCTTAGGTATTTTAAGGTTTTATAAGTTGTTACTTTTACTCTAATGACTTATAATTATATTCCATATATTTGGCAATTTATTACGTATTTGTGCAGGACAAATTTCACTCTCATAAAATTCAATACTATTCAATATTGTGGTTTAAAGGAGAGATATGACTCATGAACTGTATGCTTATGAAATCAGGCAATGAATGATCATGTGCTTTCCAAACTATCTTAAAGAACCAAAGTAATGGATTCATACGATCACCAGACAGACAATATATATAGGCGCATGCTGAATTATGAAATCATTTCATCTAATTGCTTTGCTCAAACACAGTCAGAATGATATTGCATTTTGTTCATTAGATTATTATTTTCACCACAAATTATTTCAAATACTCATTGCAAAGTTGCACAATTATAAAAAATGTGCCATTTAAATGACTGAGACACATTAATCTGACTCCATTTAAAAAGTTGTACAAATATTTTATAACATAATATAGTACATACATCAGTAATCAATAAACCTAGTCATTCAAGGAAAATCAGAAGCATGGCAAGCTGTTTTAATATTTATTCCTAAAATCAAACTAGCATCTATGGCTATTATTCATTAGACACTTGTGTGTAGGCCTATTTCGGTTGTTAGTAAGTAGCATACTTTGCATTTCTAGTAGTAATTTCTTTTGAATATTAAATATAAATAGCCATTCTTACTAGTTATCACTTATGGTAATTAAAAGAAAAACTAGTGAGAAAATAAATGATAAATACAAATGTCTACTAAATAAATACTAGTATCTAATAAATAAGGACTAAAACTGGAATATTTTATTTAATAGAAAAACTAGAAGATGCACAGGCGACAATACTAGTTGGTGTATAGTTAACAGTGAGGTCAATGGGAAAAATGAACAATTTGTGTGACAATTAAATAGTTACTTGTGTGGATAACAGTGCAGTCCCAAAGGAACAAGTACAAGTAATAAGCATTAGTGACGAACTTTTGGGATAAGTACTAATGAATAGTTACCAATGAAATACAAAAGGATACTAGTCACAATCGGATTAGTGAATAAAATAAGTAACATAAAATGCTAGTTAGTTTAATCGAATAGGTGTTAAACCTGCTTGCCATAGACGAGAGTGTAAACAGACCGTTGAAGTGAACAACGCGACCGTTATTTTCAAATTAATAGCCGTTAGAATGTGCGGCTCTGTGACGTCACCTATTCTAGTGTATTATTCTACAATGACAGCGGCTGTCCGCGCGCGCGACCCACATGTATCAGCCGCCGGAGGCCGCGGCGTTTCCCAGCGTGTTATGCCCGCGCACTGGCATGTTTACACGGGCACAAACACGCACACTCACCGTCAGCTCCTCGTCTATCTGCACTTTAAATGTCTGCTGCTGGAGCGTCTTCAGAGTGATCGTCAGCATTGTGTTCGAGCGCGAGACCCCGCGAAAAACAGCCTCGGAAGTGTCCTGAATGAGCGCGTGTGGAGATGTGACTCAGCTATCTTTTCTGTAGGGATGAGCGGGTGTGTTAGTGTTACGGGAAGACGCCATCTACTTGCTGAATAGGACAAGACACGTGGACGTACAGTGACCCCAAAGAGTCTTTAGACTGTAGAAATATCGGAATAAATACTCGACTTGTTTCTAGAACTTTCCTCAGAACTATCTTCACGAGGTCAGTGACAAACAGGGATGTTGGAGACGACGAAAAAGATAGATCTGTCTTAAACACACATTTACATTTCTTATAAATTAAATAAAATGTATTCAGGTGGGCTATTTAAAAAAAACAACGTTATTTTACATATAGGGTTTCGACAAGTATAGTCAATGTACACATCGTTTATAGTAATTATACGGAGCTCATTTGACAAAAAAAGTATTTGATAAATCTTAATCATGACATAAAAAGTCCAAATTATGACAGTTTAAATTATGACAAGATGAGAAAGTCAAAATGACCACAAAAAAGTCCAAGTTATAACATACTACGTCACAATTACAAGATTAAAAAGTCAAAATTATGATTTAAAATGGTCAAAAAGTCAACATGAAAATAGGGCATCATTGTGACAAACTAAGTCTTACTTATGGGATAAAAAACTAAATTAGGGGACTGTCATTATGATGTCAGGAAAGTGTTATGTTTACTTAAATCTTAAATCTAAAAGTTCTGAACCAAACTGAATAACATATGCTTTAATTGTTTCCTTTTAAATGTTTTATTTTTTGTTGCGCTTAATAAATGAACTTGCTCTTTCAACCAAAAATGAGGACAATTTAACATCCACACACTGAGGGAAAATTTAGGAAAAATGACCCAGACGAGGATTTAAAAATAAATCATTTATTTAAAAAAGTGCAAATCCAACATATGATCAACATCAGAATTTTCCCCTTGCACGCCTGGAGACGGAACAGAAAACCCAAACATCTATTAGTCTAAAGTTTAACAGGTCGTACTATGAACATGTTGGGGTGGGGCTTCTAGCAGCAAAACCAAAAGAAATCTGAGTTTAGGGATGCGACATGTGACTAGAAGGGGCGGAGCCAATAATTCACACCACATTTAAAGAAAAAGACAACAGAAACACATCAGATCTGCTCATTCAGGAAGGGAGTCTTCACAACTCGTCTTTGGTGAGCGTATCGTCGTCACCCTCCTCTTCCTCCTCAGGAGGTTCTTCTGTGTGTTCTTCCTCCTCTGGCTCGTCGTCCTCATTTTCGTCGTCCTCGTCTTCCTCATTATCATCCTTCTTGCTCTTTTCCTCCTCTTCCCGCTTTTTCCGTTCTTCCTCTTCCTGTTGGTCCTTCATATTTTTTTCTGGCCCCTGATACAAAAACACCACACCGGTAAGACACATCATCAGAATGTACATCTAAACACATTGATGTGGAAATAAACCTAATTTATTACCTTCGTTGCGCCCCATGTTTCTGTACCAAATTTCTCAGCCTCCTCAACATCATCGGTGATCAGGAAGTTGTCAAAGATGGTTCCAGATTTCACCTATAAGAAAGGTAAATCTGAGATCAAATTTCCTGAATCATTCACCATTTAACCACAAAATCATTACAAAAAGTGTAGTACTATAAAATTTATTGGCAAAATGTATTTAGCGATGAAACTAAATAAAGCACTGGATGTTCTTGATGTATTATGACACGAAAAAGATCTCAATGGGGTACTTTTACGCTTTGTTTCAGTTTGCTTCACTTCTTTTAATTTTGTTAACGTGACAAAACATCCATGAATAAAAAACAACAACAAAAAAAACGATGCTGTACTCGCATGATTCGTTGTAAAATGCTTTGTTTTTCTTTTTAATAGCAAAAATAAAATATACCAAACATAATATCTTGTTTTACAGTTGTGTGTAAGAATTTGGTAAGACAAATGCAGAAAGCTAGTTTGTTTTTGCATTAAAAAAACCCTCAAATTATAAATAAAACTATAATAGTATATCAATGATACTAAAATAACACTGGTAAGATATTGTACCTCTCAAAAATCATACCTAATATGGTAAATGTGACCAATTTGCCACAATTTCGGAAATTACCACCTCAAAATCAGCCATTTTGATCGTAAAAATCCCCTAAAAAAAGTTGTCAAATGTCTGGTTTACCTTTACCAGTGAAAACCAAACCAAATCTGTTGAAAACCTACAACTGAACATTATGATGTTGATTCTACAGCACACCAATCTAAACCATACCTGCCAAAGATCCAGTCCCAGAATGCCGATCTTCTCGAATTTGTAAATGGCGTCGTCTGCTGTGTACTCTGGGTTGTCGATTTCGGGGTGAATCCAGGTGCCTTTGTAGTTGGGGTTGTCAATCTGTTTTGGTTTCCACTCGCCCTACGATCAACAAAACTTAGTTAGATCAGTTGGGGAAACTGGTTCCTACATAATAAACAATCACTCGGGTGCGTTCCCCAAAAGCATCGTTAGCCAACTATGGTCGCAAGTTCTGTTAAATCGTGTTGGTAATGACAGAACTTGCAATTATATTTGGCTTTGGGAAGCGCACCCCTGATCGAGAAGATCAACCCTTTACCTTTAAGATCACTTAAAATACTGCAAATTGCAGAAATAGTCCATGTGATGTTGATTAAGGGCATTAATCCCTCTCAAAAACTCCAAACCTACTTTGAATTGAACCCGAAACCTTCTGCTGGCTGCCTACCCTTCTGGAAAGACCAGCCTAAACTGGTTTTAGCTGGTCTGCCAATTGTCCAAAACTATTCAACTAGACCAATTCAACCACTTTGTGGACTTCTACTTGAGGACTGTGGCTTTGTACCTTGTACTCTGGGTTGGGGATCATCGCAGGTTCCCATTCTCCGTCCATGTCTTCATCCCAATCGTCTGGTTTCTTGGCATCAGGGTCGGGAATGTTCTCAGGTTTGTCCCAGTCCTGAACCGCAGGGATATAAAGATATAAAGTTTTAATGCACAGTTGGATTCATGTCTAAGAACAACTATTTTGAAATATTACACAGATTTCTTGCACACTATGACGTGCAGATCAGGTTATGGTGACCAGCGATTGAAAACGTGCCTCAGGTTTCGCGTCTTCAGGATCGTCGATTTTCGCCCGGTCGTCCCAATCCTCGGGCTTCTTGGCCTCTGGATCCTTGATCTTTTTGGGAGGAAGTATGTCCCAGTCTTCCTCCAGAGCGCCAGACTCGACCTTCTCGTTGTCGATTTTCACTTCGTACGTCTGGTCCGGCCGCAGGATCAGCGTGTACAGGTGTGTGAGTTCATCGTCCTGACGGGCGCAAACAGAGCAACTGAATTATAACGATTATGATGTCATTTTGAAACATTTTAACTGCCCTTTGGCACACATTTTTCCCCTTCCACATATCAGTATCATTCGAAAGCTTAAAATTCATCCCATGAAAACCTTTTAACAGGCTCCTCCCACTAGTGGGAAAGTGTCATGTTTCATATTATCCCGCAATATTTTATAATCAAAATCTTTCTCTAATCTTGACGAAACACATTTCGTCAGGAATGTCTGAGACTCAAGGTTCGATATTTGGCGACTGTTTTGTGATTGTTGATTTGTCACCTGGTGGCTATTTTTGGTACAGCGCCTGAACAAAACCTACATTTCTGTGATACAAACTTCATATTTGGCACACATCTTGGTTAGACCTATGGCTTTGATCTTCAGAGTCCAAATTATTTTATAAAATATTTATTTTGCATGAAATAAAAATTGTTTATTACAACATTATATTTGCTTTACATTGTACATAAAATTCTATAATTTTTGAACACTTCATTTTTCTGTAAAATGTGTTTACCTAAGGTCTGCAAAAAGTTTGGATAGTGCATTTTCACAACTATGTTCAAACATACTTTGCATTTGATGTCCTTCTTGATTAGGTGATTTTGGCCTTTGTAGTTGAAAATGACGTGAACCTTCTTGGTGCTGTAGCCACAGATGTCGGGTCCTACGAGGAAGATCACAAGTGTAAATGGCACAAATATAGTAAATGTATATGCCATCAGTGTTGGCCATGTAATTTTTCCACCTAGAAACCCAACAAAACGTCATTACACCAACCATGACTTACCGAACATGATGTAGTACTGTGAATCGCCGTGCATATCGGTCTGGTCCAGGTCGGCGGGGAAGATTTTCACGTACCCACCGCCGCAGTCGATCTTCTGCTCGTGTTTCACAGTGAACTGGATCACTACTGGTTGACCCTCATTACTAAACGAGTCAAAGCGACTGGATAGAGCGTAAAACCGGGCGTCTTGAGTTGTCTGCAAACCTTGAAGGGGGAAAAAACCATTGCATTAGAAGTCACCTCACATTAACTATTTGAATTTTCTTTAAAGATGAAGACATTTGCATGAGCCATCGAGCTCCGGTGAAAGAAGCCGTGACCTCTGACCTTTATCAAGCTCAGCATCGCCGTAGAATTTCCCTGAGGTCAGTTTCCACTGGCCGTAGTCAGATTTGTGTTTGGATTCGACCCATCGGCTTTTCCAACCATCTGGAGAGACAAAGTTTAATTATCTGTTTGCGAAAATAGCAAGAATGCTCAACATATCAGTTATCATTATTAGCGTTTTTATTTATATCATCATATAAACCGATATTGGATATTTAGTTGCGGCTGTTTATTTCTTCCTATTTTTAAATATCTTTTTGCTTTCATCTAAAATATTAAATTTAAAAAAAGCATTATTTCTGTACGATACCTCTACCTCTGTTTTAAGAGATATACATTAAAAAAATTGTTTTTTAAACTAAATAGTAGTCTATATTGATATTTTATATTGGCTGTGTATTGTTCATCATCAGCCATTACACGGAAATATTTTCAGGCTGGAATTTTAACATGGGTGCATTTAAATTATGCAAATAATTGTAAGTTAAAAACAACAGATATGAAACCCTTGCGTCTTTAATTTGTTTTTAAGATGACAACTACAGTTTAACAGTCTAAAAGGTGAACTGAAACCAAAACCTAAAACTTTGATTCATAAAACATATTTGTCGTTCGTCATAATCCACGAATAAGTATGCATTAAGACAATCTGAATTATTTTCACAAATCATGTATTCTTAGCATGACATATAAGTTGTAAAACACGGTTTATGCAAATACAGTAAATGAAAGTGACACTGGTGAAACGATACAACTAGCTTTGATCACATAAATGCATGAAAGTTAACTTGCTCAATACATCATAAAAATACATTATTTTGACATTATTTGAAGAAACATTATCTCAGTGAAATAGTGACATGATGTCATGCACGACCAAAGAAGAGAGATTTACCTCCATCCAGAAATTGTTCTTTAAAATAGACATCTGCGTGTACAGTGAAAGCCAGTGCAGATATAAAGCACACTGCTGCAGCGACCCGCATCTCTGCACTGTTAAAGGATCTACGTATATTAAAGATTTAGATCCTGATATAATAATGAATGCTGCTCGAGCTAATGCTCAGGGAAATATGGCTCGGTTGTGTTCCTGCACAGATGGCTGAGACTCATTGGCCGGACGCGCAGCCAATCAGAGGAGACCACGAGTGAAGAGTCAGCGCTGTGGGCGGGGCTTCTGCGAAGCACGTGATTGGTACACGGAGGAAGTGTGTAGACATAAAACGAGTTAATAAACGTTGGGTTATTATTGCATACTGCTGTAAAGTTACAGGAACCCAGAGCCATAAGTTATGGCTCTAGATTCCTGTAACTTTACAGCAGTATGCAATATTCCTGTAAAATAAGTTGTCAAAAATGTAGGTATCAAGATATATAAAAGTAAAGAAGTCAGGAATGAGTTAAATTTATATCATTCAGTTATTTGAAAAGAAACCGAATTCTTGGCTAATGATGAGATATATGGCTTTATCTGGCCGTGTGTTATTGGTTAAAGCTGAGGGTTTATAGTTTGGTTTATTCTGCTCGAGTGTAGATGTATCCCCCTCGTTAATTAAAATGACAGACACCAAAATTTGAAATTTATTTGGAAGAACAAATCACACTATATTTGTAGGTCAAAAATTGAAGGTACATTGAATGTTTAGGATGTTAAGACCTCTAACATGATATTCAAAATGAAACGGCTCATAATAAAAATCTTTTGTTTATGTTTGATTGAATTATTATGATTGTCTGTTACTATATTTATAAAGTCAAATGGAATGAAAAAATGCCAAATTTTGAACAATTTAAAAATGATATTAAAATATATTTAGAAACAATATCCTAATGTAAAAACTTGAAAGCAAGAAAACTACAGAGCTGTTTAAAAGGTTTTTTTCTGTAAAATGTCTTTCTTTTTCTTTCTTTCTTTCTTTCTTTCTTCCTTTTCCCCCTGACATATGGTTATATGTACTCCTGTATGTAAATTATATTTTGTTATTTATTAAAATGCATTTTTTTTAAAGTATTGTGAGATCCCTGACGTGATAATAACAAGAAAAATATATGTGATGCTGCATGTGATCTGTAACACGAACTTAACACAGTGTTGTATATTTTTCTTGCAGTATATCTGCAACTAGAACATGTAACAGAGTTAAATTAAAATAATATTTTAGCTGTATATGTTGTGTATAACGGAATATATTGCAAAAAAAAAAAAAAAACTTATTGGTAATATTAAAAATAAATAAATGATGTTTTTACAGATAGGCTATAAGAAGCACCTGTGAAAAAAAGTACAAATAAAGCTGTATATGGTACACTGCTGAAATATTTAAAATAAAATTATAGGCTACATAAAGTTTGTATTCCTCTGAATAAATCATGAGAGACTCTTGAACCTCAGAGTGAGAAACTTTATTGATTAAGGCAAGAAAATACATACAGCAAATATACAGCAGATATGTGTCTCTTCATTCATTTTTCTTTTGTATCTGAGAGAAATATAAACAATAAGAGAAATATAAAGAATAAAGTGACACTGAAAGAGCACAAACTCAAATAATCATCAGTATTTATTATGAAAAAAAAAAACACTAGAAGAACAAAATCACACTTGAAGAACCTTTAAGTTCAGCGTTCTGCTTTAGATTTCGATACTTCCTGAAAAAGATGAACATATAAAGCCGTAAATTAATAATTGTCACAAATATTAATATATGAAAAATCAGTTTGTGAGAAATGACATCATCAATCATGCACCTGATGTGTGAATATGTGCTTGATCTCGTTCAGCTCTTCTGGATCTGATGTCATAAACCAGAATGATGACAGTAGCCACGCCCACCAGAGCAGAGAGGACCAATCGGATCACAGCTTCAGTAGGACCACAACAGTGGACAGAGTCTGAGGAATAAACACATCAAACTGACATCAGATCAGTCAATAAACACTAATATCAGCGCTGACATCAACTAATATTTCTGCAGAAATATGATCAAATCTAATCAACAATAATATATTTGGTTCCAAGTGAGTTTTTATACGGTCTGTCATCTCAAACTATAAACAAAACAACAATTCAGTATGTAAATAGTTGAGAAGACAAATGATCTCTACTCACCATAGACAGAAACTCTGAATGATTTTGATAAGAAAAATCTTCTTGAACTCATCAGTAGTTTATAATCTCCAGCATGTTCAGTTGTGGTGTGTGTGATGGTCAGAGAACCAGTTTGATTGTCCAGCTTCAGTCTGTCTCTGAATCTCCCATCAAGAACATCATCATATACAGTGATTCTGTCGGCCCATTTATTGATTTCTGCTATTACAGTGTTTTCATCTCCAAACCTCCACTGAATCACATCATCATCCGTCATTTCAGTGAGAGAAGAGTTTAGAGAGACTGAATCTCCCTCCATCACTGACACTGACTTCACTTCATCTGTCAAACACACAGAGAACAAACAGAAACAGGGTTTGTCAGAGATTAATACTGTTAAATCACTTTATAATGGTTTACTAAATTGAATAGTTTAAAATTGACATTAAAAACCCCAATACAAAATAACAAAATCAAAATCGTGTATGAATTCATTAGAATTTTTTCATTATAAAACAGGTGTAAACGATTTTGAACTCACTAAAGACAGAGAGAATGAATCTCTTGATCTCACGGTTGATCTGTCGTTCATAAACTCCTTCATGTTCAGTTGTGGTGTTTGTGATGGTCAGAGATCCAGTTTGATTGTCCAGCTTCAGTCTGTCTCTGAATCTCCCATCAAGAACATCATCATATACAGTGATTCTGTCGGCCCGTTTATTGATTTCTGCTATTACTGTGTATTCATCTCCAAACATCCACAGAATCACATCATCATCCTTCATTTCAGTAAGACCAGAGTTTAGAGAGACTGAATCTCCCTCCATCACTGACTTCAGTACTGAATCACCACACACACACACAAAAACACACACACACACACACACACACACACACACACACACACACACACACACACACACACACACACACACACACACACACACACACACACACACACACACACACACACACACACACACACACACACACACACACACACACACACACACACACACACACACACACACACACACACACACACACACACACACAGACACAGATTAAGACGGTCAGTTGATGGTTTATAAAAGTAAATAGTTTGAAATTTAAATTTGAAATGACTATCATCATTAAACAACAGAAGCAAAATGGAGTTTGGATTAATAATTGTATCTTTGTGCTGATTAAAATATAAAACAGGTGAAACTGATATTTAACTCACCAAAGACAACGAGTACACAATGCTTATTCTCACGGTTGCTCAGTAGATCATATTCTCCATCATGTTCAGTTGTGGTGTGTGTGATGGTAAGAGATCCAGTTTGATTGTCCAGCTTCAGTCTGTCTCTGAATCTCCCATCAAGAACATCATCATATACAGTGATTCTGTCGGCCGTTACATTGATTTCTGCTAAAGTGTATTGCCTTGCAAACCTCCACTGAATCACATCATCATCCTTCATTTCAGTGTCAGAGTTTAGAGAGACTGAATCTCCCTCCTTCACTAACTCCACTGTAAAACCAAACGCTCCTGAAGAACACAGTTTTTCACAGATTAAAGCTTTAAAATCACCTGATATTGGTTTGATGAAGCTTCACTGAAATTAATAATATTGTGAAATTAATAATAATCTGCAGCAGTACAAAGACAAAGATGATGAATAAAAAGATAAATAATTGTATACATGGAAAAATAACTAAAACATTTTCTCTGCAATGTTTAATGTCACACTAAAACCTCACAAAAGCCTCACACCCTGACGAAGGCTTGTAAGCCGCAACACGTAGGTGTACACTTGTCAGCATTTTAAAATGATAAAGCCATGATGAAATAAAGGCTTTTAAACTTTTTCAACACTATTTGAGTGCCTTGGAATATCTTTATTTCTTGAGCTGAACCATCCCTTATATCCAAACCGAGATAATTCACACCCTGTGAAGCACATTTCTTGAATTCTTTGCTTTGTTGAGTTTTTCTGCAATGTCACACTCAAACTAATGCTGTTGAGTATCTTAGTTTCATATTTATATTTTTTTATTTAATCAATTCATAACAACTGAGTTTAGAGCTGAATTCAAACTTGATCTGACAGTAAAATCACAGTTCAATTATTTCTATATGAGAATAACAGTGAATGTTGATCCTCTCGAACTAATTTAACCAGTAATTTATCACATCAGAACAGAAACAACTGAAGTCATAAAACCACATTTAAAACTCACCAACCAGACGCCACAAACACAAACAGAGCAAAACAGGGAGAAACATCTTCAACGGATTCAGTCCACAAATATGAAAAGACAAACTCTTCAAAACTGGTTCAGTGATAAAATGACAGACGTGCTGATGTGAAGCTGCTCTGTAGTAAAGTGAAGTGAAACTCTACAATCAGTTAAAATATCTGCCTATTTATTCAGTGTTAATGCATGTGACCGTCTAGCACGTCAAACTCTATTTTTGCTGATTAATTCACACTCTGGATATTGTCAGTTTGTCACTTTGAGCTCCAGTACGCCTCTGATTCCTGTAAGTCAATAGTGTGACATTCAACAGAAATAAACTGACCAATAACATGTTAAAAACATCTTAAAGCAACAGTTTGATCTTGTCCTGAGATCCTGAGAGTGTTTGTCTCTGCTCTCTCCTGTAACTCTCTTCAGGACGTTTGTTCTTCATTTCTGATCAAATGTCTGGATTGTTTCTCCTCTCAGACTGATCTCAGAGTTTCTCTAATGGTTTTATGGAGCAGGAACAGATCGCCTGCTATAACTGTGTGTATGAAAGTGTCCTCTGATATCTTCACTTGATTAATATTCAACAGCAATAGATTATGACGCTGATGTGATGCTCTAAATGCTCACTTTGTTCAGAGTGAACACAGCATTAGTGAGACGCTCACACAAAAACACTGTGCAACAATTTCTCACACGGCTCAGACAAGCTGCTAAAGACTGTGACGTCAGAGTTGAAAAACATAATCAGTTACGAGATGCTGTTTTGAGCAAATGTTTGGATATGAGGTCAACAAATAAAGCAATAATTCGGGGCCGGTGCCCAAATCAACTCTAGACAAACTCCTTCAAGGTATGAACTGTGTTCAGTAAGCTTGATCTGAAATGGGGTTTTGATCAACTGGATCTTACAGCACAGTCCAGAGGAATAACAACATCTGCTGTACATAACGGTACATATCGATACAAGAGTGTGTCGTGGGCCAGCGAGCAAAATCAAAGTCACATCAGCACTTGCAGGTATTGAGGGACTAGAGAATATCTCTGATGATATTATTATACTTGCTCCAAACCAAGAGACACATGACACTTGAGTCTAGCGGAGGCTCGTAAACTGTGCATTGACCCTCAACAACACAATACAAAGTGAACAAGCTAGTGTTAAAGGGAACGCTGCTTTCTGCAAAGGGGATTGAGTCGACCATTGAAAAGGTTCATGCTTTAACGGTAATGAGGCTTTAACATCTTCAATTTGAATCTGGCAACAAATGTGAGCCAGTTGAGTGAGATCAGGAGTGGTGTGATTGGTTCTCTTAGGCTGGTTGAAGACCAGATTTGCTGCTGCGTTCTGGATCATCTGCCAGTAGACACTGCATCAGACTTTTCTGATGTGCAATTTTCTGAGAGCAAACCTACACGATCAAGCTGTTGTCGATATATGAGTGGAAACACAGAGTTGGTCGTCAAACACAACCCACGGGTTCCTTGCTGTCCTGGTTGGTGTTGGTGTTGTGGACCCGTTACACATTGAGGTTGTGGTCAACTGATGGGTCTATAGGAGCTCCATCTTTGCACGGCTGACCTGTAGATAATGCTCCTTCATCCAGGCAGAAACGTCTGAACACAAGCTGAGACAGTGGGATCATCAGGTTGAGATTACAGATAGAGCTTCATGTATTCATGGTAGGAGAAGCCAATGATATTTATGATCATTCACAGTGAAGCAGATGTGTAAATGGAGAAAAGAAGAGGAGCGAGCACTGAACCTTGAGGCACTCCAGTGACTAGATGATACCCCTCCTCTATTAGGCTTTATTATCTTCTTTTTTTTGGAAAACACACACACAAAGCTTTGTTTTTGTGATATATGAGGACATTCCATAGGCGTAATGGCTTTTATACTGGACAAACTGTATATTCTATCCCCCTACACTGCCCCTATCCCTAAACCTACCCATCACAGGAGACATGCTGCATTTTTACATTTTTTAAAAAACATTGTTATTTATGTTTTTTAAGCTATTTGAAATATGAGGACTCATGCAATGTCCTCATATATCACGTGTAAGTTGTAATACCAGTGTAATATGCATGTCATTATACACATTTGTGTCCTCATATATCACAAGAGCACACACACACACACACACACACACACACACACACACAGAGAGAGAGAGAGAAAAGGCCTGCTCGCACTTGCCTATTTAATGTAAGAGAATGGTGACTCCCCAACTTATTTTTTTTAACCTTGAGGCACTCCAGTGACTAGATGATACTCTGCTCTCCATGAAACCTTGAAAGATCTCTCTGTGAAGTAAGACTGAAGCCACTGAAATACCGTACCAGTGATGCCCAAGTCAGAAAGGGCGGACAGGAGGATCTGGTGCTTCACAGTGTCAAAGGAGCTGACAGGTCTAGTAGAATAAGGACAGATATGCAAAGGCAAAAGGCCGCCCACCCGTTGCTATGGGCCATAGGGAAATGCTTTATGGGGCGGGCAGCTAGCGGATCGTTAGGAAAGATTAGATGAATGTGATCATTTATGTTTTGGCCTTTTTTGGGCCTGAAATCACTGATACAACCTTTAAAGGGTAACTAAACCCCTGGTCAGAGCCTGACTCCACCCACTGGCAATATTTGAAAAATGCTGGAAAAGTGGGCGGGGCCCAGCGGAGGGGGGCGTGCACCTGAGACGCGTCTCTCTGTAGGCGAGGGCGTGGTTAGCTGGTACTCTCTTACGTCACAGGGCACCACAACTTCCAATAGGTAAATTAAACTGCAGTGGCCACCGTTCAACCTGAAGAGGGCAGCACGTTTTTACACCATATATTGTAGAATTAAAACACTTTATACCCAAATGTCAAAAAAATTACTTGAATCAGTGATCAGCATTAATAAGGCCCCAGTCTTACAGATCATTAACTAAAAAAAGTTGTTTTAGGGTTTAGTTACCCTTTAAAAAAATTATTTAAATTGTATATTATCATAGTTGCTAAATTTGTGTTGCATTAATGTTGCATTCTTTATCATTAAAACATTAAAAATATAAGGAAACAATGGTGGGATTTTGTTTGACTGATGGGAATCTATACTGCAACAGCCTA